GGCGGGGGGGGGGGGAGGGTGCACTGGCAAAATGTCTTGGGTGACGGGTCTTTACCTTTGACACTGAAAGGCTCGACCGCCTTGACGGCCAGTGCGGGCCTTAGAGCTTGCCTTAGAGCGTCCAGCAGCCCCAGCTTTACCTGGTTCATAGCTGGGATAGAAATAAAATTTTAAAACTTTATTCCTTATTGAGTTTAAGTACCCTTAAAAATGTAAAATGTTACCCCACTATGATAAAGTTACCTGGGCTGCACGTTCAGTGCTCTCAGGTCGCTCGCGAAGAGCTTCGGGCTCAAGTGTTGGTAGCGAGCCCTCAGCAAAGACTTTAGGGTTTAGGGTTTAGGGTTTAGGGTTTGGCGTTGGGCCCTTGAGGTGCATGAATTCGCGATTAGTGCCCTCAGAATTGTTTTTTGCTGTCGATCTCGCCGAGATAGAAGAACTATGTGCAAATAGTTACGATGCAGGGTGGTTAATAAACCCTAAACCCTAAACCCTAAACCCCTAAATAACCCCTAAACCCTACTGTTCGTGTAAGTAGGGCTATTTAAGTGGGCATAGATCGGAAGGGGCAGCCTGCTCTGTGGGCTTGAGCAACATCCTTGGGGGGGCCCTATTGGGAAAGAAAAATAGGACCCTTTTAGCTTAGGGTCTAGGGTTCAGGGTTTTTAAGGTTTAGGGTTTAGGTGTGGTTTTGGGTTTAGGTTTAGGGTTTATCAATGCCGCTGGTAAACCTACATGAAACCCTAGACCTTGGACCCTGAACCTTCACCACGCCTTTCCCCCAAAAAAACCCAAACCCTAAACCCCAAACCCCAAACCCTAAACCCCAAACCCCTAACCCCTAAACCCCTTTACCAAGCCTGCAAAAAGCGATCCGCAGCCTGCCTGCAACTGCTCGCTGGCCGGCAAGCCATTCCAAACAGGACCCCCTGCATCCCGTGGCGCCTGCTGGGTTTAGGGTTGAGGGTTTAGGGTTTAGGGTTTAGCGCCAGGCCGAAGGCGAGTGGGGAGTGGGGAGACCTAGGGTTATGGACTCCTGTGCCGCAACCACGCACCGACCCCTAAGCTCCCAGTTGCAGATTTATTGGGTCATAAGGTTTATGGTTTAGGGTTAGGACCCTATATAGTACGTCCTCGAGACTTTAGGGTAATCAGGACTGTTGGAGCCCAAGGCAATTCTGCTGGGTACTTTGGAGGTCCAGTTGCTGTCTACGGTCTGGCTTAGAGCTCCAAAGTCCGTCTCAGAGCAGAGGGGTTGACTAGCTTGTGCTTGTTCAGCTATAACCCTTTTTGCAGGGCTTAGGGTTTAGGGTTTAGGGTATAGGGTATAGGGTATAGGGTATAGGGTTTAGGGTTTACACCTTTAGGGCTTAAGGTTTAGGGTGCGGGTTTGGAGTTTCGAAGGCTTCGGGTTTTGTCATCCCAATGGCCCAGTGACAATCATGCCCCTGAACCCCCCTAAGAACCGGGCACGGGTTTAGGGTCTTGGTAGGCCAGTAACCATATTGTAGTTGGGGTGCCCGTTTTGGTGGTTGGTTTTTACTTCATGAGGGAACCTTGAACCCCCCAAAGGGGGCATATGGGTACCACTGAGCTACATGGGGTATAAGGGTCTAAGGGTGGTTACATGGGCCCTAGGTTTTAGGGTTTGGGGTTTAGGGTTTAGGGTTTAGGGTTTAATCAATGTCGTCCCCAATCTCCTCTAACGCGTTTCTGATGTCTGGGCCCCTAAGCTAACTTGTATAGGGTATATAAGGGGTATAGGGGTACACTTTTTAGGGCCCATACTAAGGGGCCATGTAACCCTAAACCCTAACCCTAAGAGTTAAAAGGGGGGGGGGGGGAGGTGTTGGGTGTGCACAGCCTTGCCTGCTCTCTCTCGCCGACCGCCTCGCGGGACCCCGAGACGCATTTTTGTTTTGAAGGTGTGTGAGTTTTTGAAGAAGGTCTGCAGTGGAAAATGTACTTCAGTAGCTTTGGAAGGCTTCGGCAAGCTGGGACAGGGGATCAGAGGTACCTAGATGCCTATTCAATACCAGGGGCCCGCGCTTTTGGTGTTTACACCTGCGCAGTCCTGTGAATGTAGACCCTAAACCCCTAAACCCCTAACCCCAAAACCCCAAAACCCCTAAACCCTAAACCCCTAAATCCCTAACCCCTAAACCCTAAACTACACCGGGAGCCCCACCCTCCGATCGCCTGCAGCAAACGCTGCAAGGGACCGAAAGGAGTACTTCTGAATGTGCAGAGACTGGCTACTTTGTGCAGCTGTTATATGCTAACACCGGGATTACATGAGGATGATGTTTCTACGCATCAAGGAGTTGGAACCCCCAACAGGGGGGGATATGTATGTACCCTTCATAGCCCCAAATGTAGTACACTTCCTTCCATAAGGACAGCGCTGTTCAGCACATGGCTAGCAAAGCAATCTTGCATCCCTTACAGGCAAAGGCCAAAAACACCCGCAACACACGCACAAAATCCCTAAAGCTCAGCCCAATGATTCCACGCCTGAGTTTCATGACCCCTGAGGGCGCGAAAGAAACCTCAAACCCGAAACTGAATGCCGGGAGCCCCCCCCCCCCCACCCCCTCCCGCCTCTGAGGACCTCGCCGGCTCTGAGCCGGCTATGGTGCTCGAAGCCCTTACCAAGCTCCAGGTTGAGCTTGGGGTTCGGGGTTCGGGGTTCGGGGTTCGGGGTTTGGCGGTTATGTCTATTTTCCCTATACCGCCCTTACCCTAAACCCTGAAAGGCCCTTCCAAACCCCCAACCCTAAAGATCAACACCCCTAACCCCCTGCAACCCTTACTTGGAAGCTAGACGTCGGATTAGAAGTACCCGAAAGGCCCTAAACGGGGTTATAAGTATGGTTACCATACTACTAGCTAACCCTAGACTTATAACTACCCATGAACCTCCAAGTGGCTTCTATCAAGCTTGGGAGCCCAGTACCCATTATATACTAAAGGCATTTTTGGGCTGGCTACTTTACAAGGGAACCTTGAACCCCCAAAAGGCGACAAGGCTAGACTCTAAACCGTAAAACCTAAACCCTTTTCCAAGAGACTTCGCCCGCCTCGATAACACCTAAACCCTAAACCCTAAACCCTAAACCCTAAACCCTAAACCCTAAACCCTAAACCCTAAACCCTAAACCCTGAACCCTAAACCCTAAACCCTAAACCCTAAACCCTAAACCCTAAACCCTAAACCCTAAACCCTAAGCAAGCCAAACGCGACCCAAGGCATCTTCTCGGGCCGAGCATCTTGGCCGGGGCTGTGGGGGCCGGGGCCTCGCGAGTGTGGGGTTTAGGGTTTAGGGTTTAGGGTTTAGGTTTTTTTGGGTTTAGGGTTTTTTGGGTTTTGGGTTTAGGGTTTAGGGTTTAGGGCCTAGGGTTTAGGGTTTAGGGTTTAGGGTTTAGGGTTTAGGGTTCAGGGCAATTGTTCCCAAGGGGTTGCACAAGCCTTTTCCTGCGGCACCTGATGGCTTTACACTTCGCACTTAATCGTTGTTCGCCACTTCTATGAGTTGCTTCAGAACCAGGATGGGCTGTTAGGCCTTAAAATCCTGATGATGAACCCTATAAAGGGCCTTTTTAAGGGATTATAGGGTGTAATCGCCCATCCTGGGAACCCCCCAAAAATCTCAAAGATAGGAATCCCTATGTAAGGAAGGGTCTTTTGTTCTTTGTGGGGGTGAAGGGGCTTCTGAAGCAAACAGTAAGTCTTTGTTGCGGCTCGTCTGTGTTTTTTTTCTTTTTTTTTTTTTTCCGAGCTCCCTCGCGAAACTGAGGGCCTGAAAATAAACCCTAAACCCTAAACCCTAAACCTCAAATCCTAGGGAAGGCCTCGGCTGGGAAACGAGACATGGTCTCAAGGTGCGACAGGGACTTCCTGAGCCCTCGACCCCTAACCCCAAACCCCAAAAACCCTTAAACCCTTAAACCCTAAAACCCAAAAACCCTTAAACCCTAAACCCTGAACCCCAAAAACCCTTAAACCCTAAACCCTAAACCCTAAACCCCAAGACGATGTCTGGAGCAGCTCAGGTACCACAACTGCGTCGGCAGACGTCCTTCGTCCTTCTACGAAGCCCATGAACCCAAGGAGCCCAATACTTGGTTGAGGGTGTAGCGTTTAGGGTTTAGGGTAGTTACAAGTAGGATGATGAGAACCCTACTTAGGGTTAAGTTATAAGTATAGCTACCCTGCTTATAACCCTACCTATAACTACCCATGAACCTCCAAGTACCCTCCACGGTCGATAGAGAACTTCAGAGCATGCCCAGTTGGGATGTTCCCCAATATTATTGTAAATATGAGCCCTACTCAGGACTGCTAGTATAAGGGGGGACATCCCGATGCCCAGACTTGCCGGGAAAGAGCGGAGCTGGGCTCTGGGTAGAACATGCTTTATTTTCTAGGCGTCCTTGCTGACCAACATGCATGCCACCCATTCATCCCTTTTTGACCACAGCGTGCCAGCAGAACGACGTGCTGTAGAGTTTAGCCCTATGCCGAAGCCTCAGCCTGGATTTTAAGGCTCTTACTTAAAATGAAGGATACTAGATAATCGCATGTATAATACCAGCAGCAACGAGGAAATGTTTCTTGATCATGATACTAGCTTTACATAAGAACACTGTTTATAATGAAAGCAACCTTACTTCTATGTTGAATACTGTAATCATTTTCGTAATATGTTGATAGATTTACATCACACACAAAGGAGAAGCCTTGCCTAAACCCTAAACCCTAAACCCTAAACCCTAAACCCTAAACCCTAAACCCTAAACCCTAAACCCTAAACCCTAAACCCTAAACCCTAAACCCTACTTGTCCGGATGTTTGAGGGGAGCTGGAGGTTGCCAATCTTTAGGGCCAGGAGGCTCGACATGACCAAGTTTGGCCGGCTTTTTTTGCAGCGACATGCGGTCTAAGCAGCTGTGAGGGTTTAGGGTTTAGGGTTTAGGGTTTAGGGTTTAGGGTGAGACCTTTAGATGTGCTGCACGCCCTCCCGCTGAGGTGGCACGGAACTGCTGCCGCCACCACTGTCAGCACCAACATCAAGGCCCCAGGTCACGACGGATCCGTCACGCAGGACTGCGGCAAAAGCACCTTGAGAAGCTTGGATGTGTTGCACGCCCTTCAGCTGAGCTTGCACAGCAGTGCTGTTGGCCCCGCCGCCCCCATAATTCGAACTACCCCAGGTCACGACAGATCCGTCACCAAGGATTGCGGCAAATGCAGGTCCAGAAGCTTGGATGTGCTGCACACCTTTCAGCTGAGCTTGCACTGAACGGCTGTCGCCACCTGCAACAGCAAGGCCCCAGGTCACCACAGATCCGTCACCGTGGACTGCGGCAAAAGCATTTTCAGAAGCTTGGATGTGTTGCACACCTGTCAGCTGCGCTTGAACCAAAGCGTTGTTGCCCCCAGAAACAGCACGGCCCCAGGTCACGACGGATCCGTCGCCTAGGACTGCGGCAAAAGCATGTCCACAAGCTTGGACGTGTTGCACACCCTTCAGCTGAGCTTGCACAGAACTGCTGACGCCACCTGAACTAGCAAGGCCCCAGGTCACCACAGATCCGTCACCGAGGATTGCGGCAAAAGCATGTCGAGAAGCCTGGATTTGCTGCACACCCTTCAGCTGAGCTTGCACTGAGCGGCTGTCACCACCTGCAACAGCAAGGCCCCAAGTCACCACAGATCCGTCACCGAGAATGGCGGCAAAAGCATGTTCAGAAGCTTGGATGTGCTGCACGTCCTTCAGCCGAGCTTGCGCTAAACTGCTCTTCCCACCAGAATTAACATCGCCCCATGTAACGACACGTCCATCACTGAGGATCGCAGCGAAAGCGGCGCCAGAAGCTTGAATGTGCTGCACACCCTTCAGCTGAGCTTGCACTGAGCTGCTGTCCCCGCCAGAATCAGCATCGCCCCAGGTCACAACAGATCCGTCCCCGAGGATTGCAGCAAAAGCAGCGCCCGAAGCTTGAATGTGCTGCACGCCCCTCAGCTGACCTTGCACAGAACTGCTGTCGCCACCAAATTCAGCATCGCCCCAGGTCACCACAGATCCGTCCCCGAGGATTGCGGCAAAAGCATGTTCAGAAGCCTGGATCTTCTCCACGCCCTTCAACTGAGCTTGCACCGACCTGCTGTCACCACCAGAACGAGCGGGACCCCAAGTCACGACGGATCCGTCTCCGAGGATGGCAGCAAAGGCACCCTCGCTCTCATTTCCAATTTCAGTGCATTTTCTCCACTTCGGTGCTGCGACTTGGGGCAGCCGAATTTGCAGACATAGCGCATCGCCACTCTGCACACGTGCCCGCTGAAGCGTCAGTCCTGCATCCAGTACGTGGCCATCAGCACTCAACAGCCGCCCTTTGCCAACAGCCAAAGCTCTCTGAGCTCTTTGGGTCAATTTTTCCACAGATGCATCTTCCTGAATCTCAAGAGAAACACTTTTGCCACTGAGCAGATACACATCAACCGAAATTGCCATGGCAGGAATGCCCCTTCACTCCTGATACCCAACGCCCAACGGAAGCTTCGACATGCACCGATATCAACACTCCATAGACCCTAAGAGCCGCTGGTTTTGCCTTCAGAAACCAAACGCCTTATCTTTGTGCAGTGTAAGTATGGAACCTACCGAAGGGGCTTCGTAACCATAACCCAGGACTTTCGTGAACCCTCGACGACCCCAAACCCTAAACTCTAAACCTTAGACCCTAAACCCCTGGCTCACTTGGCGGAGTTTCTGGCTGCGGGTTTTTTTGTTGGTTTAGGGTTGAGAGCAGCTAGGGTCGGCCAAAGGCATGGGATGGAAACCCACAAGAAACCTGGAGCCCACCATGATTCCATGGGTTGGGGGTTGGGGGTTGGGGGTTGGGGGTTGGGGGTTGGGGGTTGGGGTTTGGGGTTTGGGGTTTGGGGTTTAGGGTTTAGGGTTTAGGGTTTGGGGTGTCGAGTAGGGTGTAGAATGGGGGGGCTTAGGCACTGTCATCTGCTCAGCCAAGGCATCAAGCCAGCATCAACCCCAACCCTAACCCCACAACACATCGACGGCTTAGGGTTTAGGGTTTAGGGTTTAGGGTTTCGGGTTTCGGGTTTCGGGTTTAGGGTTTAGTGTTTAGGGTTTAGGGTCTTCGAGGCCCGGGATACCCACAATCTGCTCTTAAACTTTACGACTAATTAGAAGCCGAGAATAACCCGGGTTTAGGGTTTAGGCCAAGAACCTGGTCTGTGTGCAGGTTACCCTTTGCTTCCAGGGACCTAAAGATTGTGTCCATGAAGGTTCTAATAACCTGAATATTAGGTCTCTGGAAGTATAGAGTTAACTACAGTAACTACAGTTCTGCAGGTGAGAAGCACACTTCAAGTACCGTGCAAATGAGTGAGCAGTGTGAGCACAGAAGTCTCATGTTGTGCGGCCCCATTTATTCAGGACCTTTTCTGGGCCGCTATTGCAACATGTAATTAAGCCACTCCGAAAAAGCCATTTCATGATTTGCAAGGGTTCTTTGGGGGGTCTTTCATTAGTGGGCGTACGCCCGCAAGTGAGCAGGTATCCTGTAAACCCTAAGCCGTCAACCCTCAACCTAAACCCTAAACCCTGAACCCTGAACCCTAAACCCTAAACCCTAAACCCTAAACCCTAAACCCTGAACCCTGAACCCTAAACCCTAAACCCTAAACCCTAAACCCTAAACCCTAAACCCTGAACCATCCACCAGGCCCCGCGCGCCTTTACCGCCTTCTCTGCCTCCTCGGCACTCAAGGAGACACGCCACCTAGCCCAGTTCGGCAGCGATATGTCTAGGGCTTGGAGGGCTTCGGGCTTACCTTAAGATCCCAAACGCCTACCCTTCTTTTTTCTCGTCGGTTTTTCCAAAGAATTCCATAAACGGTCTTTAAAGTACTATGACCCACAAAAAGCAGGCTTTGGATTCTGAATTAAGGCGGCCCGTTCTCAAAAATGATGGTCCCTTTTTGGGTACCCTAATGAAGAGGGGCCTGCCTTCTAGTAAGGGCCCCAAAAAAGGGACCCTGTTTCGAGAGGCTGCCAGGGTTTAGGGTTTAGGGTTTAGGGTTTAGGGTTTAGGGTTTAGGGTTGAGGGTTTAGGGTTTAGGGTTTAGGGTTTAGGGTGTCCCACTCTAGAAGGGCTACTTACTGGGAGCTACCTGAGCCCTAAACCTCAAGAGCGAATAGGTTGAAGGGGGTGAGTTGGGCTGCCCAACAAAACCTCCCAAAACCTGAGCCCCAAAGCCTAATTAAACCCCCTAAACCCTAAACCCTAAACCCCTAAACCCTAAACCCTCCTAGAGGTTGGAAAGCTCCAAACACTTTAAGCCCACCGAATTGGAGGTTCACGGGTCACTAGAATTAGGATTACAAGTACACCAAAATAGGAGTATAATGGGATGTTCCCCCAGTACTAACAGTCCTTGACAGGGATTATAGTGCCCCCCCCTCTAATCCCAAGTAAGGGCTGTTAGTATCAGGGGGAGCGTCCCAAAGTATAGGCAGACTTACCAGACTTACTTGGTAGCCCAGTAACCATATTATAGGAAAGGCGCCCCTTTTTGGGTTGGTTGCTTGATAAGGGAACATTGAATCCAAGAAAGGGAAAAAGGGTACCATTGGGCTACCAACCCGAAACCCTAAACCCTAGTCCTAAACCCTAAACCCTAAACCCTAAACCCTAAACCCTAAACCCTAAACCCTAAACCCTAAACCCTAAACCCTAAACCCTACTTGTAACTACCCATGAACCTCCAAGGATGGAACAACCTAGACGAGGCGCTGGCTCTCTACACCATGCAGCCCTGAACCCTACAAGCAAAAAGGGTTTAGGGTTTAGGGTGAAGTTGAGTTCAAGGTCCAAGGCAAAGTGAGTTGATGTCTCTCAGAAGGCGCTTGAGCCAAACAAGCACACCCCCCCCCCCCCCTCCCGCCGGCCTACCCTGAACCTCAAGCCCTAAGCCTAAGCCGTAAGCCCGAAACCTCGAGTTTGTGAAGGCTGGTTTAGGGTTTAGGGTTTAGGGTTTAGGTTCTGTACCCTTTTGGGCATTTTCACAGATTGTCAAAGGCTTCTATCGGGCTCTACAGGCTTTTTTATTGAGGGTTTCGGCGTGGATTCTTGACAAGGTCTTGCAAGACTTGGGGCTTCATGGCCCAAGTAGGGTTTAGGGTTTAGGGTTTAGGGTTTAGGGTTTAGGGTTTAGGGTTTAGGGTTTAGGGTTTAGGGTTTAGGGTTTAGGGTAGCTACAGAAGATGACGGGCTCTGAAGTTCACCTTGCTTTATAAGCACTCAGAGGCACCTAATGGGCTCGCGCGGCCCGGAACGCCACTGCTGCGCCTTTCAAGGGACGAAAGGAGTGACCGTTTAGGTTTAGGGTTTAGGGTTTAGGGTTTAGGGTTTAGGGTTTAGGGTTTAGGGTTTAGGGTTTAGGGTTTAGGGTTTAGGGTTTAGGGTTTAGGTCCCCTACGAGGAACCTTAGGGGGGTTGCTAAAGGGGGCTAGTTTTTAGGGGCTGCCTAGAGGTATACGGTGTGTACACAGAGGGGGTTTTTCTTCGGGGGATAAGATTCAGCGTCCCTTCTTGGGGTCCCTCCTTCGAGCCCTTAATACATGGGGTGTTTTCGAGCTCCAGAGACTAGGTTGCCCAGTAACCTAGGATTAAAAAGGGTGCCCTTTTTTGCTTAAAGGGGTTTATAGGGGAACCTAGAGCCCCCAAAAAGGGAATAAGGGCACTACTGGGCATCCTAGGAAAACTTTGCAAGGATCGATCGGGTCCACGGCAGACGCCTTGATAGGGACTCAAGTAGCCTGGCGTATGAGATCCCAGCTTGAGGCTTTAGGGTTTACGGTTTAGGGTTTAGGGTTTGAGAATTCGCTTGGTCTCAGGTCCCACAAACAATGACCAGCTGATTCGACCCAACACACGCCTATGAAGCCCTCATCCCCGAATGAAAGCCCCCTTGCACTCCCAACCCAGTCATACCAGCGCTGACCCACTAGTTCGCCACAAGGCTGCCTATTGTGCCTGTATGTCGGTTCTCTAGTTCACCTATAATGGGTTAGAAGTACCCATGAACCTCAAACCCAAAACCCCTTTAATGGGTTAGAAGCAGCCGTGAACCTCAGAGTAACTCCAGTATACCTGATCTGAGCCACCCTTTTCTGAGGACCAAAGGAACCCCAAAATTATAAACCCATTAAGGAATACACCGTAATTTATACAGGGATCCTTAATACGAGTTAAGGTATATTCCTTGATTAAGGGGGGCTTGGGCTCTTTGGGTAAACCCTTTTTTGGCCTCCTTTGGTCCCCCCATGTTGGGCCTGAACCCTAAACCCCTAACCCCTAAACCCCTAAACCCCTAAACCCCTAAACCCCTAAACCCTAAACCCCTCAACCCCTACACCCCTAAACCCCTAAACCCCTAAACCCCTAAACCCCTAAACCCCCTAAACCCCTAAACTCCTAAACCCCTAATCCTCGGAAGGGAAGCGCGCCTCCTGCGGCACGCGGGTCCGCACATCTCGCTGATTAATCAGGTAGGCCACCTCCGCAGACATTAGGGTATAGGGTTGAGGGTTTAGGGTTTACGGTTTAACTTGCGGGTCCTTCGTCGGGAATGGGGGGGAAGTAGGTACCCTAAACCCCAAACTTTGACACCCTGAACCCTAAACCCTCAACCCTAAATCCCCAAACCCCTAAACCCTAACCTTAAACCCTAACACTTGGCCCTTGGATCTAGGGTTTATAAACGGGTATAAGGAGGGAGAAAGGTTTCTCCTTTAGTCCCTTGAGTTTAGGGTTCAGGATGTGTAGGGTTTCGGGTCTGTTGGAAGCCTGATTCTGTCTGACCGCTAGAAGATGCGGTCCGAGTGGCGTCTGAGCCATAAAGCCCTCAAACCTCTGAATCCCTTTCCCCAAGACCTAAGCCCTAAGCCCTAAACCCTAAACCCTAAACTCTGCAGCCCGGAACAGGGCCCTTCAAGGCACCGGGAACCGAGTGCGCCCCTTTTTTACGGCATCCCATACACGCCCAACCCCTTTGCTCACTCAAGGGACCCTTATAAGGGACCTTAGGGGTGATTCGGGGGTATATTAGGGACTATCTAGGGTATAGATAGGGGTTACGTGGGGGAAGAAGATCCAGGGCCCCTGTGATCATCACATAACCGAATATCGCCCTGCAAGAAACCCTGGAACAAAGCCTAAGTTCACCCTAAACCCTAAACCCTAAACCCTAAACCCTAAACCCTAAACCCTAAACCCTAAACCCTAAACCCTAAACCCTAAACTTCAAGCCGCGAGTTCCCTCAAAACCCTCAAGCCCCAAACCTTCATTTCCCCAAGAATCCCCCCAAAAAACCGCTCAAACCACACTTTTCACCCAAAACCCCTAAACCCTACCAAAAAAATGCTTCCCGGCCCAGGGCGCCTGCGCCAGTGGACAAGGCCTAGACGGCACCACAAGACCCATACA